TTCCACATTGCCAACGAATTGCCAAAGTCAAAACCCAGCTCAACCGTTGGATGAACTCCCCAATCCAAAAGGTCCTAAGCTGGCCTCAACTTGCAAACCCTCTAACTCCAGGAAGAGCAACGCTAGTGAAACCATTGCACGAATATCCGCATTCGCAACATCCCTTCTCCAGATTTGTAGCCGTATTCTATCAGCTGAAGTATGAAAACCTTGATCACTCAAACGGTTTCTCTAAAACCAAAAAATTTGGGAAAAAAAATTACGGCAACGCGAACGCCAAAAATGACAAGGCTCGAAACCAGCCGCTCTATCCGTCATCTAATGAATGAAAGTCCCAGACCGTTGCAGAACTCGCTGAAATCATAACCATAGATCGTGAAGATTCTTCGCCGGAATAGAACTTGTACCAATAAAGCGTAAAATAGGTCTTATCATTAAAGGTAACTTGAAAACTGGTTTATCATTCGTAAACAACGAAATAAGAATATCTGAAGATCCCAATTTCTTACAGAAGAAATGATCAGCAAGCAAGTCCAGCTATTCCAGATAGACAATTTAACATTTGTTCTTCCGGCTCGCAGAGCATAGCCTCAGTGTCTCAACTAATGCAACTCACTCAAAAATTATATAATCAAACACTTGCGATACACCACAATCATAGAAATGCATGGGTAAAAAAAATGAAAAATTATGAAAAACTGTTGATACTTTTTGACTTTGTAATACTGATGCGAGACGAAATTTCAAAAAATAGACAAATAAGTGAGAAGCGTAAAATTTTATGAGATTTTGGAATTTTCTCAAAGACCTAGCTTTTCTCTAGAAAAATTGAGGAGTAGCCGCGCTAATCATTGAAACCAAAAAATCAGATGTGGTAGGTTAGTTTTTGAGAAAACGAAAAAAAAAATCAAAAACATCGGTCAAATATTAACCCCACAGACTTTTTCGAAGGCTGTAGAAAAAAGAGGAAAAAAAGAGACCAGGTGGGTAAGCAGGCAGATAAGAATGCGGGCGCTCTTTCTATGGATATCCGCTTTTTGAAAATCGGCAAAACCTTCTAAATTTAAATTAGCAGCTGGACAAAAACTTACGAATCGGAAACAAGGCCGAAAACTTTTGAGCAGACACCAGTTGAGTCAAGAAATAAACTTATTATTCAAAATCAACTTATAATAAAACTTTTAAAAGTTTCAAGTCCCCCGTGAAACTAGCCTGAAGTAACTAGTATCCAGCCAGCAAATAATTATGATTTTTCATGAAATTGAGCATCTCAGCTGAAGAGCATGTCAGGTGAAGAGCATTGAACATGTCAGTTGATTCAACTGATTTTGTTGAACTAGTTGTTAACTAGACAAAAGGTTTTTTCCGATTTGATAACGCTTGCTAATCGCAAGCGTAAACTTCCGCAAATTTCTCATAAATTTAAGACCGAATCAGTTTGAAGCTCTTACTTGAGGAATCTCTAAATTTTGCAAAAAGAGAATTCGTTACTAGTACAAAACTTGCACATGCTCGACCGTTGAAACATTGCATTAAAGGGTTGGCAATTCGTTTCTAGGTACCAAAAGGGGATAGTTAGAGAAAAAGATCCAAGCTGAGAATCGGTTTGAATTGCTGAGATTCGATCTTTTCAACAACTTAGTGTTAATGAATTTATGGTATAGTTTATAATGCTTTAATCTTTTGTTAAAGTGGTCTGCGATGATGAAAAACACTACGATAAAATAGCATATTTTGATGAAACAGAAATTATGCAAAAACGCGTCGAAACACAACATTGATTGTATTTTTTTTCAAGCTATGGAATTTTTAAAATATCTTTTCGTAACTTTTCTTGAGTCTAACAGTAATTTGGAAACGATCAAGCACACAAGGTTAGAAAAAAACTATATTTCTCACTGCAATTTTTTTGACTGATTTGGAGTTGACTAGAACGGTCATAAGAATCTCCGGTACTTTGAAAAGAAGATTTTTGAGTTAACAAGGTTAAAATGGCAATCGAAGGCTAATTTGAGAGCCGATACACGAGATTAAAAATGTCAAATAGACAAAACAGAACCTGTATATGTGCAAGTAGCTCAGAACGTTCTTACCACAATAAAAACAAAAAAACCGTTAGAAAAGAAAAATGAGCGTAAGGAAACATTAAAAAAACTAACTTTCTTTTGAAAATTCTTTAACGTTTGAAATTTGAAGAAAACAAATATGCTTTTAAAGCTTCTTGAATTTCAATAACAATTTATGATTGGTGCTTTTTTGATAAAATTAACCCAAATTGATAAAACTGGATCAGTAGGCCAATTTTTTATTCCACTGGGAAACCTGAAAATTAAAGACACATTTTCGATACAACAAATCGATCACGTTTTTTGTGATTTTTGCACTTTGACAGTTCAATAGTTTGCCTTGCTTTTCACAACAAAATCATCTGAAGTGGAAATGATATCAAAAGTCTAACCTCAAAAAATCGAAATTGAGTGTGAACAGATTTCAAGACGCAGAAACAATTAAAACTAAAACCAAACAGTTAATAAATTTCTTCACAAAGGCAAGCTGCGCTTCGCAAACACTTGCAATAACACGACAAAAAAGCAGCTTTATAAGATGAAAAAAAAGAATTAAGCCTCGAATTAGCAAAACTTTGCTACGTATCGGACCAGAACCTGCGACATCGAGATTTGGAATTTCACTCCCTGCCCGCTTGGCCAAAATCTTAACAACCCAAAAACACTAGTCACGCATTAAGCAGCTACATATGCTAATAAATTGCCAATGCACTGCAGCAAAAGTGGCAACAAATACAAACAGATACATTTTGGCATGCAATACTTTGAAATATAACAGACGAAACGCATCCACGCTAACTTCGCCAGTAGTAAATTCGAAAGCATGAAGCCAAAATTGGTTTAAATTAGGCATTTCAAAAAATTGATATATCGAGTTCGAAAATTTCTGAAAATGACTTTTTTTTATCGTACTGATAATTGAAACAAACAATTTTTTCGGTTCATTTGTACAACGAGAACTGCATTAACAGCGCTGACTTATAACTAATCGAATGTCACAGCGCATGTTATCAAAAAGCTGCAATGATGCCCCAAAAAGTGGCACCAATATTTGGGGCTGTTAGAATAAAAAAGAATAGTCATTCTACAACACTACCTCACTTAAGTGCGCAAGTTTAAATTTGCTTATCAGTCTGAATATTTTAAGAATCCTAAAAATTACAAAAAAAATCAAAGCAAGAAAAACTAGGCAAACGAATTAGAAAAAAAACACCAAAAGGAAAGTTAGGAATTTTTCAATCGAATTTTTCAATCGCCTTCCCAAAAACAAGACAAAAAATTTATCACGACTTAAATGTTAAAATTGTCTTGACTACGTTTATTGACACTTTAGAAAAATAAGCTTTCAAAGACCTCTATAAAACACGAGAAAATTTATTGCTCCCAAGACAATTCAAGTTTGTGTCAGAAAAAAGTTAAGTACTGTTAATATAATGTTAGTCAATGTATTACTTTTGACAAACCTCTAACTAGAAGCTCAGTTTGGTGGTTTCGTTACTGAAATAAGAGTTTAGCCGCTTATGTTGGGGATATTCCTAATACAAGTTTGTCAATTGAAAAAGATGTCAGTTTTGGCAGGTTAGTGTCAAGAGAAGTGTATATTTTTCAAAAACCGTCCATAGCGTGCTTTCACAAAATGCGTTGTCACCGTTTAAGCATGAAAGAATGTTGCAACATTTTTTTTCAATTGAACCTATTAAATTTGGCGGGGCAATTTTGGAGAAAAATGCTTCAAAAAAACAATTGAAAAGTCGAAGTTTTGAGTTTTTGTAACAATTTTTCTACAAAATTAGGGCGCAGTTGATTCTGCCGGGAAAATTGTCGCCACCTTTTCAAAAATTTGACTTTTTCGAAACTTTATTCCCAAAAAAATCAAAAAATTTTTAAATTGTCTTTTTGAATGCTATTATTACTTTGCTTCTTGAAAAATTAGGGCATTGGCTAATTGCATTAGGAAGATTCAAACACCGAGCGAAAAATTTCTCTCGGTTGTACCTTTAAACCCCCATTGGGGAGGCTAGTTTTTGAGACAAGTCAAATTCTTAGAAAACAACAAACTTGTATGTCAAAAAATGGCTAGTTTGAGTTTTTTCTATTAAAAAATAGGGCTGGTGGCTTATAATGGGGATATTGCGGTTGGCTGTTTTTTCGATTTAATACTAATTCTCGGTTTTTGAAAACAAATTAAATGCCAAAAAAAGGTTGTTTGATAACGTAAATTTTCTCTATCAAAATTAGGGTCTGAATGCTTATGCAGGGGAGATTGCAGCTACCTTTTTTTATTAACCCTTAATCTCAGTTACTTCAAGATACTTTTCGAGAAAAACCAAACAAATGGGTCAAACTCTCACCCAATTGAAATTTTCGAAGGCTGTAGAAAAAGGAGTAAGCTGAAAACATAGCAAACCCATAGTTGGAAAAGAGTCAATCAACAAGAGTTAAAGAAATGGACCAGCTAACAAGATGCTAGCTAAGTCAGACCGTTTGAAACCAAAAAATTAATTAAACGAATTTTTTGCTTTCAAAATTTTTTGGAAATTGGGCTTTCAACATAATTCCTGTCTAAAAAGTATCAAAAATTCCATCCGTAGTAGGGATTTTTGACCAAAATTAAGAAAAACTATACGATCACCTGAAACGTTCAACCAAAAATAGTGCATTCTAAAGAGATATACAGCAGCTCTAGAATTGTCGAACTGAATAGTTGTTTGAAACCAGAGGTACGGACATTGCCATACACAAACAATTATGGAGTTAGCTATTTGATATACATAAAAATAACGTCGAATGCGTTCAATAAGTTAAAATGGGTCGTCTAAATTCCAGTTTCGAAAAAAGAAATGATGAATCTACATCTACTGTTAGCTCAATTTTAACTTGAAATATTCGAAACAAGTATATTCAATAAATGTCTTTTTGGCAATTTATCGAAATTTAGTTCAGTTTTAAATTCCTCCGTCAAATAAAAGAGAACGCCTTTTTGTCCTCTATCAATTGCACTTTATGCTTGAAGCGAGGATACAGAAGAGGCAACGTTACGCATACTATGAGTGCTGTCAATCCGAAAATGTGGATGCTGTTCTCTGATTGGCTATTCTGGTTGTCTAAGGGGAGAGTTCGAGGCGTGAAGAGAGGACTGTAGTATTTGTCAAAGAGGGGGTTCTGTCTCCATGCCTTGTGCACAGTGTAATTCTGTTGATTGAGGTCGCACAAATCCTTCAAGGCTACTGAAATACAAACTAATTGATAATCTATAAGTCATCCATAATATCAAACAGTCAAGCTTTGAGAAAATTTTGGAAAAACTATCTGATAAAAAAGCATGTCGAGGCAACAGTAATAATAAAATTAGGTTGATCAAACTTCAGACTGCGTACTTGTGAAACAGCCTTAAAAGCTTCATTTTTTTCAAAGAAACAGGTATAATTAATTTCGAGTCATTCGTAATTGTTACGTCAATTACGACATAAGCTTGAGAAATTACCAAAGTGAACTTTCTCGACCTCGTCAGCGTTTGGTCTCATATCCTTCAGAAGACTCTCGCTATCGCCCATATGTGCAATCACGGGGGTGGCCAGATATTTACCCCTGCCTAGCGGCGCATTAGGGGGAAGACAGAACTCTCCCCAGACGTCTATGTGCTTATCCCTCACTCCGAGTTCCTCGCAAGTCTCTCGCACTGCAGTTTGAACGAGATCTCCGTCATCGGCATCGTCTGCAATGCCTCCGGGGAAACTCGAAACAAATTTGACTGATTTTTTAATTAACAATTCGAAAATTCTCAACTTTCGAATTCAGACAAGAAACATAGCAGCTTAATGCTCATTGAATTTCAAGAATCTATTGTGGTTTGATAATTTAATAACAAAAACCAACCCATATAAAGAAATTTTGATAAATAGATAAATTAAACAGAGCCAACAGACAGCAATTGCTACATAATCACAAATTTTTGCCTGAAAAAAAACCACCATCTAAGGGACAGCTCAGTTCGCTGATTAATACTTAACATCGATTTCCACGCAATCCTCATGTTTTTACGAAACTATTTTTCAAAAATTGACCTAACCTGATTTCACCTCTGTGAGAGATTAGTTTGGACGATCTGCGAGTGAACAACAAAGCAGGCTGGTCTTCCACACTACAAAATGGCACCAAAACAGCACTCACTCTTGTTCGTAGACTCACATCGTCCAATTTCTTCTTCTTCTTCTTCTTCTTCTGCTCTCTAATCGTAACTAGTCTATCCTGTAGCAAATTAGTAACTCTGAGTCGGTTTTGTGAGCTGAACACTTCATCTAGGGCTACAGACTCGGTGCTCAGACAACGAGAAAACTCGAGTTGCTGCTTCTTGACAATTCTTTCCACGTGACTTAAGGCCGCGCTCCGGTGTAGTTTTCCTGAAATGATTCTTACAGTGAAAGCATTACGGTGACGTAAAAAAGGTGAAACGTTTGACTTCAGCCGATCTCGAACTTCAAATCGGAATTAGGAAGAGCGCGAAAATAAGCCAATCAGAATTTACTAATTCGAAGGAAATAAGCTATACAAACAGTCAGTTTAGGAGTTTGAAAGCCATTCATTGCTTGAGAACCTGCTCGCATTCGGTCCTTCGCGCATGAGAATAGTACCCAATCAGAATGGCAGTTCTTTGCTACAGTATAAAGTAATGTCCATTTGAGTAAGAGATTATATTATTTACTCCAGATAAAATACCCTTGCCCGCCTAATTCAGCACAACATTAAAGTTTTAAACTCAGGTAAAATGAATGTCGCAAACACAAGCGGGAAAAAACAGCGAATCAAATTTAATCGTTTGAAAAGCTTGTACTCGTTAATTATGGATGGTATGATATCAATCCAAGATATTTGGCACGAGTCGCCCCCCCCCCCCCCCCCAGCCTCATGTTGCCTTAATCATTACGACAGGTGGAATCCCTCATACGCGAAGGACCGAATGCGCGAAAATAAAAATCAGCCAATCAGATTTCAATAATCTAAAATTTGGAAAGAAAGTAAACATTCCAGGGACTGGGATATTGATATTGGCCGAATATAAAAACGACAGAAATATGCAAAATTTTCAAATTGTCATTGACCGCCGCAAAATTGGGACAAATTTTACATTTCAAGGGTTTCGTAGTGAAAGAAGCAAAATATTGCTTCATTTAATTCATTTTAACTGAATGTCAATTATTTCTTTTTAAAAATTGACTTTCGGCTAATTTTGTCTTCGGTCCTTGGCATAATATCATACAAGATCCGCTTTTGATAATAAACCTACTCATCATGGCCGAAACTAGTAGACCCGATAGTCTGTCAGTCACCCGATCGCGAAAGCCCTTGACGTGGAAATTAGTGACTAGGTTTCATAGTTTTCCTTGGAGTTTTCCTTTTGGTGTGTCACACGGGTCGCCATATCAATCTGGAAAAAATGAGGTTATTCTAATTGGTAGATGAATTTAAATCAATCGCAATTCAGACCAGTATAAAAAAATTGGCCGCTCTATCGAAACCAATTCAAACCACATTCTTAACTCAAACAACCTCAGCATCAGTTGATTGAGATATCGCGAAGTTCTCACTAATCATCATCAGGTTCAAATTTAAGTACCCTATTCCAGGCAACCTGCTTTCCTTTGACACTACTGTATCCCGGTAAAATAAACACTTGAATTATTTTCAATAGATAGTAGCTAAATCGTACAGAATTCAAGATTATCTATAATTCTAAATAGTTGCAATAAGACCAAACTCAGTAGCATCTTTCATGGAAAATTAGATAGCAATTGATATTTACATAAAACTATTTTTAATCTTCCGATCTTATATCATTTGAGTCTGAGAATGAGAAAACAGAATTTAGTTTAATACCACACTTAAGGCCGAATTAGTTTACTGGAGGGTCTGGGCTCAAACTTTTTGTTCGGAACATTTGAAAAACGCGGAGGAACTTTGTATTCGGTTATGTTTCAGTTTTTGTTCTGACCATTGAAAATAGGAACGAATTTTGTATTCGGGTGTTTTAGTTTTTTTTGTTTTCCACACAAAATCAGGTACCACAAATAATTTATCGGATTGGGTTGATATATATATCATTTAAAGCGCTATCAGTCCTGACTCGAACAACATGAAAAATTTCAAAAAAATTTTCTCGGAGTCGAAAATAGAATCTTTCTTAGCTTACTTACGCTTAATTTAAGCCGTTAAAATTTAGTTTTACTAGCGCAAAGTTAAAATTTGGGTTGTTTTGGGATTCAAAATTTTCAAAAACTGAAAATTTAATTTTTTTTTAAATTTTCGTTTTGTTTGGTATTTTTTTTACAAAAAATGTGTTCCAATTGGCCTATTTGACTATGAATGTAGGATATGCCTAAGTTCTATTTTTTCGTCCACACAAAAAAAACGACACTAACTTGAAAACAAAAATGTATTTTTGTTGAGACAATAGTCGGAACATTTTTGGCTACTTGAACAAAAACCGTCTATCCTTGTTTAACATTGTTTTTGCTTTTGCTTTTTTATGCTTTTGCTTTCTTTGAATAATGTTTTTTTTATGATTATTATTCTATTTTTTATTAGGCTTTAAGGAAAACTACAGCACAACAAAATGTTCTCCTCTATTAACATCCAATTTAGTTCAAATTAAAGGAAAGCTTCAAAAAGCGCTGTAAGTACTAACAACTTTTTTCTTACACAAACCGTATAAAAAAGAATTTCATATCAAAATTTTCACGAACTCTCATTACTCAGTAACGGTGCATTTAATTCCAGAAATTGTCAAGTAAAGTTTCTGGTTGTTTTACAACTCGCGAACAATTTTTGTATCGGCTTGATTTAGGTTCAACAAAAAGTTCACTTAACTATTCCTTGAATAAAAGCAAGAAGAGCTTTAAACTTTTAGGCAAATATCACTCACAATACTTTTCATATAGGAAAGGCGGAGTGTCATCAGGTACGGCGCGATGCTACGGCATCGTACGACAAAGACTACAATTAATTACAACCACTACTTCAACGAGATACGTTCAAACTATCGAAGATTATGTTAGTTTTATTTTGCAATATTTTATTTCAAAGCTTGCTTCGATCTTTACGCTGGTCGCCTTCCAGCATTTCTAGTTTCTTCAACAGGTCAATCTCTCATCCTATAAGTGGGCATCATCCAGTCTTTCTCCGATTGCTAGTCGTCTCTAGTTTTCCTCGTTTGTTCGTAGGAAAAAACACTTCTCTTGAAATTTGTTTCCGTCCATCTTTTTTGCTTGCCAGTCCTCTCTAGCTTTCCTCATTTGTTCGTATGAGCGTAGTTACGTCTTCAAAGTTGGCTCAATCTGGCTTTTTTGCCGTATGCTAGTTGTTCAGCTTTCTACATTTGATCATAGGAGCAACATTCCTCTTGAAATTTGGTTCCGTTCAGCTTTTCTCCTGCCTGCTAGTCGCCTGTAGCTTTCCAAGATGGTTCATTGGAGCAAATATCTTGAAAACTGGTTCCGTCCAGCTTTCTGGTTTGCTAATCGTCTCTAGCTCTCCTCATTTTTTTGAGAGCAAACATTCCTCCTGAAAGTTGGTTCCGATCTGCTTTCTCCCCGCTTGCCAGTCGTTGCAACTATGCAACTAAAATTAGGGCCATATTAAAAATCACATATTGAAAGATTTTTGTTTATGAATTTTTTCACAAAATTTCGCTGAAAACGTTGATTTTACTTATTAATTGTGAAGAAAGTTAGCACAAGAACACTTTTGTTACCGCTGGAATTCAAATCTTAAAAGATCCCTTTAAATTTGTAGTTTGTGGTAAACACTTCTCCTCAAGTGAATTCCGCTCACCACAACACCGAGGAAGATTTGCTCACAAGATTATCCTGCTCACAAAATGTAAATAAACATTGTGAACTTTTTTTAATTTAGGTTTCGGATGGTCAAAACTGAAATTGTTACCACCCTCCTTATAGTTTTTAGCTAAAATAATCAATTTTATACAGATTTTATGAAAATTGTATACAGCTTATCTACAGTTTTTATACAGATTACCTACGTATTTGTTACAGGTTGGTTTTTGTGCAGTTTCTCTATATATTATAATCAAATTATATACAGACTATATAGAGATGTACAAATGTTTTATACACAAGGAAATTGATTATTGTGGCACTAAAATCCGTTTACTTTTGGTAAAAAGAATCGGCTGTATTTGTATAGACTCGATTATCTTAGAAAAGCGAACATTTGGCCCCAACACCTGACCTTCTCCATGATCCAAGAGGGAATTTACTGCCGCTTTTGCTGTGCTTCTCTGGCTAGCATGTTGCCATCAGAATTTCTGACTGCACTGATGACAGTGAAACACAAGCTGTCAGCGGCTAAAGCTAACAGCACTGCTCTTCAGGGACCTTCGCTAGATCTGCCTCAGTCGATAAATCACATTCGGAACTTGCGTCAACCTGAAAGACGCGATGAAGGCAGTGGCCTCTGCAAAAAAATTTACTCTGACGCTGCAAAGCTTTGTAATGTTGAGATGGAGGGCCGAAGAGGCAGACCTCCCATAGCCTCATCGGCTTTTGACCAAGTCTGAAAGACCGTTTTCCTGCCCTTTCTTGACTTTTTCCCGATGAACCTCAAAGAAAGCTTGATTGGTGAAACTTTTTTTGTATCCAAGTGTGGAAGCTGCTACCTCGTTGGATAACTGAGAAAAATGCAAAGGCGGAAGACTTTGATGACCTAGTCCAATTATGCGAATGCGTACTTCCAGTTGGTCATTTCAGCAGCGAGTTCGAAGTTTGGAAATCTTCCCCTCTTGTTGCCTGTTTTGAGTGTTAAACATTAGAGCAGCTCAGCTTGAAATGAAATATTCCCAGTTAAGGGATATAAAATTTGATGGTTTTGAGTAGAAAACAAATGCACGCAAACCAATTATTTATTGACGGGTCATATTTTCATTTATAACATTGTAAGACATTGGTTTAAGTTTTTTTGCGAGAACTGCTTATTGTATTGCCTCTGTTTTAATTCCTTACATCAATTTTTGTTTTATATAAGCGCTGTACTTAATTTTTGTTTTTTTTTTGTATCTGTTATATATTTTACATGGCGAATCAAGCAGAAACAGGGCTGATTGCCGTGCTCCTGTTGAAAGACATGGTGCTCTGTACAGTTAAAGTCACCAGAATTGCAGAGGATGTGTGTGCTGAGGCTTCAAAGTGTACCTTTTTGTTAACCGGGAAAATGAAAGCATTGTTGAAAGAAGGAGTCTTGAGCAGCCCCGTTGGATAACTGAGAAAAATGCAAAGGCGGAAGACTTTGATGACCTAGTCCAATTATGCGAATGCGCACTTTCAGTTGGTGATTTCCCCAGCGAGTTCGAAGTTTGCAAATCTTCCCCTTGTACATCGATACGCCAGAAAACTTCACAAGTGCCCTGAGAGTGTGTCACAAATCCACAATACCAATAACTTAGCTGCAATAATTTTTTTCGGATTATATATTAGTAAAAAGTGTAGACCAAAACCACAAAAAGTCAAGGTGGTTGGAGACACTTAATATCGACTATGACTGCTCCGAAAAGATAAAACGGCTTTTTTGGTCGCTTAGTGAACCCGCATAGGCCTTGAAGTTTTTTCTAATTTTTGAGCGTAAGATGCAGCGGAACGCGCCAACAGTACATTCACCATTTCACCATCGCTTGAGTAACTTGTAACTTTTTTTTATGATTACGTAGTTCTTCCACGAAATTAGAAGTGATCCGAAAATTATTGAAAAGAAGGACTTCTTCGACCAATGACTACAAGGTGCAAAAATAATTTCATAATTCGGTAATGGTTGTGGATTGCTCCAAAATGATTTAAATCCTTTTTGACTTCCCAGAGGAAACGCATTTGGTTTACAAATTGATTCGTAATTTCAGTGTTGAAAAATTATAATCTCTTTGCAATTGAGGAGTGTATAGACCGAAATCATAAAACTCCAAGCTGGTTAATAGCCTAATGATGCGCTGTGACTGCTCCGAAATGAAGAAAGACTTTTTTGGTCTCTTAGCTAAAACGCATGGGGCTTGTAACTTTTTCCGAACTTTGGAAGTGAAATATAGATTTTTCGAGATTAAGGACTTAATTAACTTATATATCAATTATATAGCTCTCAATTCACAAATTGAGACCGTGCTGAGTGTGTCTTTTTAAACTTTTGCCGATTGTTTTTGATGTTTTTTTAAACAATCGCTTCGTACAAACGGTACCAAAAAAGTCTGCAACACTTCATCTTCAGTGTTTTTCGGATAATATCTTAGCTAAATAAAGAATGTAGACTAAAAGCACATAGAGCCAAGGTGGTTGAGACCCTAATGATCGGCTATGACTGCTCCGAAAAGATGAAACGGCTTTTTTGGTCTCTTAGTGAAATCGCATAGGTCTTGATGTTTTTTCCGA